TAAGTGTGGTTTTACGTGCAGAGTTTGTGGTGTTTACGTATTGTTTTTTTTATCCTAACAGAAGTTCCTTCTTAAATTGTGTTATAAAAAATGCTTTAATAAATGTTTCTTTTGAAATACATAATCTTTTCCCTTTATTCCGTGGGGAATGAATACTGTGATATTTCTTCCTGTGGAAATTCAATTCTAAAATGTTTATTTGATTTGGAACTTATATTATAAAAGATATCATGACATGGCATCCCTTGTTCTTGGCATGGAACGTACCGTATCAATCACCGATCGGACTGCGTATTTATACATCCCGCACAGCCTAATGTACGCGTCACGTTTCCTTGAAGACGGGGGAGACCACGGATGACCATATACTAGACCCCAGTTATCATGACATGGCTTTGGCATGTTATTGGTTGCAAAAATTTGATATTTTTCATTTAAATGCAATATTTTTTATTTAGTTGATATATTTCTTCATTAAAATGCAATATTTTTTTTATTTAAATGGTATATTTTTTCATTTAAATGGTATATTTTTTCATTTAAATGCAATATTCTTTATTCAATTGGTATCACTTGTCATTTTAATGCAATATTTTTTATTCAATTGGTATGATAGTAGTTTTTTATTTATATGCAATAATTGCATTATGGGAAATTCTTTGACGTCATATTGTCAAATTTGCAACAACGTTTGTGATTGGTCGGTATTTGTTTGGATTTCTCCCCTTTCTTTCTAAACATAAGTGACCAAGAATTAAAAAACGCGTCAGAATATCGCCCCTCAAAATAAATCTGGCGTTCGTGCGAGTCCTCACTTGCTGTTAAAACCTTCTGGTCCTAACTATTATTTCTATTGCAAAATTTCGACGGTCAAAACGTTCGGACCACAACTTTTCAAAAACTTTCATTGTATATGGATCTATATGCAAGTATATCATTTTTTTTAAATAGATTAGACGGCACCGTTGGTTTTCCCGTTTGAATGTTTTTACATTAGTCATTTTTTGGGGGCCCTTTATAGCTTGCTGTTCGGTGTGAGCCAAGGCTCCGTGTTGAAAACCGTACTTTGACCTATAATGGTTTACAAATTATGACTTGGATGGAGAGTTGTCTCATTGGCAGTCATACCACATCTTCTTATATCTATATACAACGTAAACCAGACGTTTCTTAGACTATTTTCTTTTTTAATAAATCCTTTGCCGCGCGTTGTGTACTGATTGATACTTCAGTCTGGGAGAACAAGATTTATTTCAGTACTAGTTGTTATTAGCTTTGAGCAAACTTCCGCTGAGTAATTGAAAATACTCTAATGTCGGTGATTTGTGTCTATTGTCTTGATGTTAGTTTTTTTTGTGTGTCTCGTACCGATCTTTTGACTAATTGCAACTGATTAGTGCAGGTTGTTCTTTTATTGTACTGTTACACCACTGTCCCGGCTTCGGGATGGGTTGAGTGCTCACAAACATGTTGTTGTACTGTTACACCACTGTCCCAGGTTGGGGGGAGGATTGGGATCCAGCTTACATGTTTAACCCTGCCACATTCAGTATGTATGTGCCTGACCCAAGTTAGGAGCCTGTGATTCAGTAGTTGCCGTTTGTGGCTGTGTTATACATATTTGTGTTTCGTTCATTTTTTGTACATTAATTCGGCCGTTAGTTTTCTCGTTTGAATTGTTTTACATTTGTGATTTCGGGGTCTTTTATAGCTGACTATGCGGTGTAGGCTTTGCTTATTGTCGAAGGCCGTACGGGGACTTATAGCTGTTGATTTCTGTGTAATATAGTCTCTTGTGGAGAGTTGTCTCATTTGCAATCACACCACATCTTCGTTTTTACATCAACCCTACCATATTCTTTATTTGCCTGTCCCAGGTCAGGAGCCTGTAATTTAGTGGTTCCCCATCCTTCATCTATAATTTAGTGGTTGTCGTTGGTTCATGTCTCGACTCATATTTGATATTTTGTAAAATGTTTTGTTATGTATAATGAGGCCATTAGTTTTTTCGTTTGAATTGTTCACACTTTTCATATCGGGCCTTTTATAGACGACTTTACAGTATCAGGTTTTTGTCATTGTTGAAGGCCTTACGATTGTCTATAATTGCTTACATCCACTTCATATTTGAACTCCGGTGGATAGTTGCCTTATTAGCAATCATATCCCATCCAATCTCTTCGTTTTTATATTATATACCTGACTTATTAATTCGTGTTTTCCTGAACAAGCATGAAATATTTGTCACTGGGCGTTAAAAATTAGCGACAAACAATCAATCAATTTAAAATTGTGTTAAATAAGTGGAAAACCATTTAATATTTATCTATTTGTTGGGTGGGGGACAGAAGGATTTCATATATGAATACGGTTGCCTGGTAAGAGCTGAAAAATAAACATGATTAGCGACAGATTAAAATGAATAATAATATCCTCTCTTCCCTTCCCCATCCTTGATCTATAAATTTAAACTGACCACCACGGAATAGCCCAATAGTGTTCAAAGTAGCGTTAAACACCAATCAATCAAAATCTCTTCCCTAGAATATCAAATAATCGTCCCTTAACTGTTATTGTCCGACGGTGTAGTTCTTATATTTATCCAGCTTATCGTCCCACAGGGATGTCCTACTAAGGTTGTCATACCATAAAAACGTTTATAACACAGCTCACAGCATTCATAAATTTATAAGTCATTTAGACTTGTTATGTGCATCTGCCGTCAAAACAACCTATCAAAAAAGAATAGGTGGAAGAGAGCCAGAAGATCTTCCCAATGCAAAAAAACAGAAATGGACTTCTTCTGGCTCACTACCGAAGAACAAAAAAAAAAACGCGCCCCATTATTAGGTTTTAAAAACGCCTTGTCCCTACCCTTTTTTCCCATAAATTGGCATTGTTAAATATATATACATCTATATAATCATCATTACAATGCTATTGTATTTTTATAAGACCTACTTTATTACATGATCTGGGACTAATGACATCTATCTATAAGTCCAAGCATACAGTAAATTATTATAATATGAATATGTTTCTTGTTTTAATAACCACATATGATGCTATGCATGAGTCACCATTTATCAGGACAGGAATTGGTTTTACATAGAGAGAATAATGTGCAAAAAATAGATAAGGGGCGGGACCAAACCTATAGATAACATAATAAAGAAATGATGAAATGTAAAGAATACGTTGATTGTTTTTGGTGGCCTTATGTCCAGTGGCAAATATTTCACGCATGTTTAGGACAAATATAATAGAGATCAAATGATAAAGAAAAGAGTGAAATGGTAAAAACTAAAAGATTTAGAATTATAGAAACGATCTTTGATCTGAACCCCCTCCCCCTCCCCTCACGCACACACCATAACCATTACTGCCAATACTCGCATATATACATCTCTATACAAATATATCTTAATCTGAACCCCCTCCCCCTTAGACACCGAGGTTCTGGATCCGCCCCTGTTAAATGTATCTTATTATATACATTTTGTACGGGTCTAGATGATAGCTAAACGTACAATCCTACAATTTGTTGGATACAAATCATTAGAGATTTGTATCTAATTATATAATATACTGTGTCACAAAATAAAGTTACTTGTATACCCCCCCCCCCCCCCCCACCCCCCCCCCCCCCCACCCACCCCCCACCCTTTCCCAATGCAGTATTGAAAAGTAAATCAATTAAAAGTCCTGAAGAAAAATATGTTTTGAAATATGCCCTGCATACTTATTTATGCAAAGACATATAGAAGTAATTGAACTACTGTGGGGCTTGAAAAAAAGTTCTATTTAAGGGATTCGGGGATGAGAACAGTAAAAAAAGCTCAGCAACGAATCCTAAATGTAAAATGATATGCTAGCTATGTATTTTTTTTTTTATTTCAATGTGTAGACTGTAGGGGAGTTTCTTCAGAAAGGGTTTTCATTGGTGGCGTTTTTGCCATGCACGCAGGTATCTGTTTCTATCCATGAACAGGTTTTGTGTCAAATTAATTATTATTACTTGTCACTCGCATTTTTTTGCTCGACCTGGCCATTATTGGCATTAACAGCCAGTGCACGAACTCGCACAAACGCCAGATTTAGTAAGAGGGGTGATATTCCGACGCGTGTTTTTAATTCTTGGTCACTCATGTTTAGAAAGAAAGGGAAGAAATCCAAACAATTACCAACCAATCACAAACGTTGTTGCAAATTTGAACTTGTGACGTCAAAGAATTTCCCATAATGCAATTATTGCAAATAAATAAAAAATTGGTACTATACCATTTGAATAAAAAATATTGCATTTAAATGAAAAAATATACCATTTAAATGAAAAAATATACCATTTAAATGAAAAATTATACCATTTGAATAAAAAATATTGCTTTTAAATGAAGAAATATACCATTTCAATAAAAAAAATATTGCATTTAAATGAAGAAATATACCAATTAAATAAAAAAATATTGCATTTAAATGAAAAATTTAAAAAAAGTTAGACATTCACTTGGAAAGAGTATAAATGACTATTGACAAAAATGAATTTAAAAACTGAAGTTTGATTATACTTTCATGTTAGAACTTATCAATTCAAATAACATGAATTAGGTTTTGGACAAACTATTAGATTAAAAAGATTGAAAATTGTACGAGGACAAAATGTCCTAATTCTAGAAGATCTCTAAAAAAAACCCAATTATACCATAAACCATATAAATACGGTAGGTGGAATAAAGAGGGTGGGAAAATGCCTGTACCATTTCAGGAATATGACAGTTGTTGTCCATTCTTTTGATGTGTTTTATCATTTGATTTAGCCATTTGATTAGGGACTTTCCGTTTTGAATTTTCCTCGGAGTTCAGTTATTACTTTTTACTCACACTAGAACACCTACTAGTTCTTGCAATAGAAAGGTCTGCATTGTGATAAATATTTTTGATATATCTAGATTATACAAAAAATTAATATTCAGCATCTCTTAATAAATGTCTACAATTTTGTTTTCTAATTAATAAATTTCTGCACTAAAAAATCGTTCAAATGATGCTTCTCTTTTAAGAGTTCCAAGAACAGCGATTCTGGATTTATGTAGGGGTCAAAATTAATTAAAATACAACATTTTGCTCATTATTTTCCAATTGACCATTTCCTATTTTCACTGACTTTCTTTTACAAACTTTTCTGTAAATATTTGCTACTATGGCAAAAAACTTTGTAGCGTCAAAACTAATAATCATTACCAATGGAATCAACAGCAGAGCGACACCTACATAACCTACAGATGCAGCAGACGGTCTGTCGTCACGTGCTGATATGCGTTTTCTGATAGTAGCAGACAGGTTTTTCGAGTCGATGGTTAAGTTGCTCTTCATTTCATTCAACTCGTCCTTCATAATGTCTTTAAGATCATCCTTTGTTATGTTCAGCTGTTTCAAATGTCCCCATTTATAAACTGAATTAAAATCAAATCGGTCAAATTACAATTTGATTAAAAAAATATATAATAATAATGGAATCTGAAGTGAGATGATGTATCAAATATATTTGTTTTACGTTTTCTAGACAAACAGTAAACACTTACACGCCTGAACATAAAAAAGATGTAACCAGCTTTACTTTTTCAATGAGATTTTTGCCCATTTAAAGGATTTGTTTCAAAAATGAAATGTTGCTGGGGGCAGAGATGCAATTTAATGCTTTAAAGAGATCAATCTTTTATCTATTTGTGAAATTTTTCGTAGAATTCATGCTTATGCACAAAAGAGATCAAAATGTATTTGCACCTACCATAATCGAGTGTTTCGAGAAAATTTATCTTTAATATTTAGGTTTAAAAATATCTCGAAGCTCCATACTATAATATAAATATAAGGATGCAAAACATTTAAATTATGCACTTACATTAAACTTTTAAAGGCCGTAGACATAGAAACAGATGTAAACGATTAAAATATACCAACTTGGCCATTTTTACCCTCTCTAATAAAGAGTTCAATTTCTTTTGTTTAATTTCAACTGGATATCAGCATGCAAGGCATATATGAACAAATAGTTAAGTATGAATGCATTTTTTACTTCATTTATAAGACTCATTATATCTTTTTTACGAACCATAGATGTATATCCTTAAAAATACAGGTATAGCATTTTGTTATGTATGGAAAATAGCTGACATAATTATGCCACTTTTATTTAAAGAAATTAAATGTAGAAAACTGTTGATTGATTTCACACGAACATATTTCTACAACAGATAAAAATAATCTACTGATTTTACTTATTTTCAACCGTTGGTATATAAAGTTAAAATGATACCTGGACATTCTTTGGTGTTACAATGCACGTTGGTCTGATTATCACCAGGACAGTTTTCTCCACCATTTGTTGGCGTTGGATTATTGCATCGTCGTCGCCTTAATTGTGTCCCATTACCACACGAGGTTGAGCAGTGACCATCATCCTCCCAACAGCTCCACGATCCTACAAATATTTCAATTTATCTTTTCAAACAATCGATGTTGTCTTTCAAGATCAAATGATACTAATAAAAGGTGTGCATGTCTATTTGGATTTTTTTTAAAATATAAAATACGTAAAAAGTTTAATACGCATTGATAAATTTTTCTGTCAATAAAATATGATAATGTGGCGTTAAAATTACAAAATGTATGAGCTTATGGTACTGTGTAAATATTCTGTGTAAAGAGAACATAACGGTATAGCTTTTTTTAAGCGCCATACAATTTGTAGTTTCACTTCAGATTGTTTCTATGAAATATACTTTTGTTTTCGATCTTTAAATTTTTGTTATTGTTTATTATTCTTTGAAATGAAATTAAAGGATATATTTTAAACTTTCATTTAAAGTCCGTTCAAACTTTCTTCATTGTTATTAATCATTCAAAAGGACTGTTTCATTAGAATTTGACACTTGGAAAAAAGTAAAATAGAAAAAAAACCGAACTCTAAGGAAAATAAAAAAAAATACAAAGTCCAATTGGCAAAACCAAAAGCTCAAACAAATCAAACGAGGGGAATTTATAGTGCAATGCAGCATTATACCTGGGCAACCACCCAGGTTGCAATATGCGTATTTGACGTCATCACCATCACAATATGCAGAATCCCGACCTGGATATGGATTATCACACCTTCTTTTAACCACCTTTTGTCCTTCGTCACAAGTTGTAGAACATTCACCAAAAGGTACCCATTCACTCCAACCCCCTAAAATATATTTTAAAATAAATTTGAATCCATATGAACCAAAATAATCTGTCGATCCAGAAAAGAAACAGGAACGCTCAAAGACAAAAAAAGTGAAAGCCAAGGATTAGACGAAAAAGGACCCACAATAATAGCCAAATCCATGACATGAGATGGAACCTGAGTTTTTTGATAATTTATAAATTTATAAACAGACAATTTAAGAAAGATATATTGTAAATTATGCCAGTACCGAATCAATGACGTCTAAGCTGATGATACCTCCGTGGACTAAAAGCCAAGCAAAAAGGGTATCGACTCTGTTTTATATAAAATGAAAATAACACTTTATGATAAATTGAACGTCGAGACAAACAACAGTTTACAAATCACAACATAAAACTGAAAACTGAGTAACTCGAACGTCAACAAAAACCTGCTTTTCTCTTCAAATATTTTTTTTTTCATATTTAAACCCCAATGTCAGAAGTCTAGCAGCAGTTTCGAAGGTATTTTGGCTTATTTGCTTTATCCAATCCAATCCAATTTCCTCCCTCTAGCCCCCTTTTCGCCAACCTCTCACCTATCTTTCCCTACATTATAGCAGTATGACGTTTACATTTCTACATCGTAAAAATATAGAAGATGAAATCGCTTTTCCAGAACATTAAGATTTATCCATAATATCATCTGTTAACTTCGCCGTAAGGTTTTTTATCGATTATAAGTACATTGCTGTTGTTCATCTTTTTTTTGTTAGTTGTAGTATCTGTCTTTTATAGACTTAATTATATAAGAATAAGATGTGGTATGATTGTCAATTATAGTTCAAAGACTGTATATCATACTTTTGTGCGTTAAATTTTTTCGTTTGAATTGTTGATTTTTGGGTTTTTTTTAACAACATAATTAAATATTTATTTCAATTACTGGCTTGTTACAATATCCTTCAGGAGTCCAAGCTCCTGATATTCCATGTTACATTCCACTAATTACTCAGGGCAGTGATTAGTTGTAAAATTCATATGGCATCAAATATATATTCAATAATATCACTCATTGTTCAAATTTTTTCTAATGGTTACTAAAATATTTTGAATTGTCACACTTACTCTTGTAATGAATTTCATGATCAGGTTATGTATAAATAAAGGCAACAGTAGTATACCACTGTTCGAAACTCATAAATCGATAGAGATAAAAACAAATCCGGGTTACAAACTAAAACTGAGGGAAACGCATCAAATATAAGAGGAGAACAACGACACAAGATGTAATACGCTTTGTATATTGAAAAACTAACAATTGTCAAAAAGTAGTTAAAGCCAAAATACTAATCTTCGTCAGAAATTTTACATCCAAATACTAAATGTTTTAATACGATCTTAAAAGTTATTTTCCTCCTCTTTAAATCTTCATTTATTTTATTCCAAAAGTGTTCTAAATACAGACACGGTAAAAAGAAGTGATTGTATTCTTCTTCTTGTGTACAAAAGTTACAAAAACTATTGTTTGCAATTTTTTACCTGAATAAAAGTTTCTGTGTAGATTGAATATGTTGTAATAATTTCCACCTAAAAGTTTTAAGTTTATTTTCTTTCAAATATTTGAATAAAAATTCATATAAATTGTTTTGATATAACACATCATCTTTATTAAGTATACGCAGCCATTTTTAGGTCAAATAGCTGGTTCAAATTAGTTGTTTATAAGGGGCTTATAAAAAATTTTGTTTGATAGTGATTCTAATTTTATAGGTAAACCTTTCCATATAAATTGGTTTCATTTTATATTAACTTTGAATTGCTTTACTTTCGTCATATCGTGGTCTTTAAAAGCTTGCTATGCGGTAAAGGAGATAAGTGGAATATAATCTTTTTAATGTGTATAATTATATGAATTATCATTCAAATCAGTTGAGTAGCTTGTGTTAAGATACGAATTTCAAAAGACTCTGAAAAAGATCCAGTTGAGAAACTTAAACCTTTACATTCAGTCAGACATGCTTTATGATTTTGATTTTAAAATTGTGAACTTTCCATTACTGTAAAGCAAAATTCCGGCAGCGCTTGCATACACGTATATAATATATATTATCTTTTAATCCGATATTCTATGACTCCCGTTTCCAATCATTATTTCATTGATAGAGTATTAGCCCTTACAAGGAAGCTAATGCATCAAGGGTTCAAGGTTGAAAATTCCCAGTCACAGCCTTCGACAGTTTTACGAACACCATCATAGTTTAGTTGAGCGTTATGGAATAGTAAATGACTACGGATATGTTCAACTTGTCGTAACCACAATCACGCCTTTTTATTTATCTCGATTGTGACATTGCCGAACGTGACCTATAACTAGATTTTTAATTGCTTTAGCAATATGATGGGTGACACATTTGAAGCAAACACTGCTTACCGTTCCGGAGCACCTCAGTTCACACGATTGTGACGAGGTTCGTCGTGAGTTTTCTTTCTTAGTTATGTTTGTTAGTATTGTTTCTCATTTCGTCTAATTAATTTTTGGCCATGGTATTGCCTGTTTTTATTTGACTTTTAAATTTCGCATGCCCCCTCAGTATCTCCTCATCCGTTTTTCTATATAATGGATACATATAAAGGGTTACAGGAATTATGAAATAATGGCTTGTATAAAGGCACTCAATTTGATGGGGGTTGAATCAGTTTTATATGGGCACAAACTTTCTCTTTTACGTATATAGGCCATATGACGTAAAAATGAAACACGCAATAGAAAAACTTGCACAGTCCAGCTACAAACAGGATGACCACTAACTTGAACACAACTTGAAACGACTCTCGTGTCAAAGTTTACATGCATTCATCAAGATTATTTATTTTGTAAAAATATTTCCTTTCTCTATTTAAACTGTACACGTATACCTAACAACAAAATTATTTTTATTTACCTGTGTTTAAAGTAATTGCAAATGGCTGATATTTTTGTTTGAGCATATTGTTTTTCTTAAATTGTTTAACATTTCATAGCGGTATAACATGTTACTTTTTTTATTTTATATTTACATTGTATCATAGGTCAAATTTATTTGTTCAGTGTATGTTCAATGGTGTTAATATGTCCTTTGATTGAGTTAAGCTATTTCAGTTGATACTTTATAGTGTACCTTTCTATGTTGTGATGTTACGCTATTGTTTCAGAAAAAGGGTGAAGGTTTGGTACCATTAAAACGTTTAAACCCGCTGCAATTGTTTGCACCTGTCCTAAGTCAGAAGTCTGATGTTCAGTAGTTGTCGTTTGTTGATGTGGTTCATAAGTGTTTCTCGTTTCTCGTTTTTTATATAGATTAGACCGTTGGTTTTCTCGTTTGAATGGTTTTACACTAGTAATTTTTGGAGCCCTTTATAGCTTGCTGTTCGATGTGAGCCAAGGCTCCGTGTTGAAGACCGTACTTTGACATATAATGGTTTACTTTTATAAATTTTGACTTGGAGAGTTGTCTCATTGGCACTCATACCACATCTTCTTATATCTAATTACTAATAAAGGAATCATTATATGCTTTGGGGTTACAATACCAAAATTTTTGGCAAGCAGACGATACGGTTTCCGGTTCTTCAATATTAATAGATATACTAGTGTTCAATGTTAAATCCTCCCTGCTAGTTTCACAGTAATCCCTCCCTCTTTTGGGGGTATACGTCAACGAGACAGCAATCTAATGACAAAACTAACCAAAAACGAAATCTATTGGGCAACAGTAGACAAAAGAAACCTTCAAGTACAATACGTCAAGCTTTAAATCAACCCAAATCTATGAAAGTTGTAAATGCATTGAACAGAAACAATCAAGTATCAGCGGTTAACAAGTAGTTCCCCAAATAACGAAAAATATTAATAACGTCAATTGATTCAAACACTAAATAAAACAACTTATTGATTCATACATTTTTACCTTGACATCCGGTACTGCTTTCACATGATGACTCAAATTCATAATTATTATTTCCATCACATAATAAATTAAACGTTTGACGTCCAGAACCACAATTTGTTGAACATGGTCCTCGTGGTTCAAGACTGCACACTTCTATAAAAAAAAAAACATTTGCCATTCATCTGCCTTCATTTTCGGAATATGTATATGGTAAGAAGTTTTATTTTGAACAAAAAAAATTAGTTTCCCTCATGTTGTTCATCAGTCTCTTCTTTTACATAATAAGAAACACTGTGTATTTTTTGTCGTTGTATTCGTTTTTGTTTTTGTATCATTGGAAAGTATGACGTTAATTATAAGCAGAATATACTTAAACAATAACTTTATCATTTACATCTTTAATTGTTATACTGGATACATTCAGAAAGACGAAACAATATCATACAAGCTAAGATAAATATTTCTTTTATTCTGAAATCTATGGTTTTTTTTAAATAAGAACATTATTGAAGGCTTATTGGAATGAAGTGTCATGAAATATTACACCACCACCATTCAGAAAACAAAATAGATTATTTATGATAACATTTTCATCAATTTTATATAAATCAAAATAGTGGAAAATAAATGTTTTAAATTTTGTTCGAAAACTCATTAGTTCATGCATTATAAAAATAGTATTGTTGCTTAACTATATAAACTATTTCTAGAAGCTTCTTAAATCAAACGTATTTTAAAATGTTTAAGTAAAATGAATGACAGTATCACTGATACACTTTTACCCTGGTTTGTTGTATATATTTTGAATTTATGAAATAGACTGGGCAAAATTATAAAAAAAACACATATATAGATAAGTATAATATACACTAAGATATAAGATATATTGATTCTTACATTGGTACCAGTGGATTACCGGATTTATCCAATCCCAATAGTCAAGGTATCTAATTTAAAGTCAGAGCCTTGGCGAGGAATTTAAAATTGATAATTTAACTATCGAGATTGGATAATTCCGATAATCAACGAGCAATTATGTAAGAATCAATTACTCTAATGATTATACAATAAATTTTCATTTGTGATAAACAATAATCCCCTTCCAAATTCCACAAAGATGTCAATTTCTCTAACACCTGTTTGCACAATTCGATTCAGCCGGTGAGCTTATAAAGGTTATGACCCTTAAACTGAGCCAATCGTCTTCTGTGATCGTCGGCAACCACACGTTGATTAATTTTTGTATATAATGGGTTCAGAGAGAGTTAAATACCCGTAGAATCAGAGAAATTTGGGTGGACGTCAATGATGCTGTTATCCAAACAATACTATAAAATATAAAAAGGTATCAAGATTTTTCTTAAATCATAAAAATGTATGATAAGGGGGTCGATTTGCGACAACAAACTATTTAAACCCCGCCACAATCTGTATGTGCCTGTTCCAAGTCCGGAGCCTGTTATTCAGTCGTTTTCGATTGTTGTTGTATATCATATTTGTTTTTCGTTCACTGTTTTGTTCATAAATCAGGCCCTTATTTTTCTCGTTTCAATTCTTTTGCAGTATAGGTTATGCTCATTGTTGAAGGACATACGGTGAACTACCGTTTTAAACTTCTAAGTCAATTGGTCTATGTTGTAGAGAGTTGTTTATTGGCTATCATACCGGATCTACTTATTTTTAAATTAACCATATGTAAAGCTCATAATCGCTTTGAAACTGTACAGTTTGTGTTTAAATTCAACCAAATTACTAAGGATCTGCTGTAAAACAAAATAAAACGATATGAACAATGACAACCACTGGTGACATACATAACCTCTGACAGACACAATTGCCATATTCAGCAAGTTTTTGGAGTCCTGCATCTTAATTTGTTTTATCTCGCTTGATCAGTAGAATACTACTTAGGTTAAGTATCATAAAAGGTATTGTACAATATAAGGTCATAAAAAGAACTTAAACTAAACTGTAAAATATATATATACTTTACTTGCGAAAAAAATGACAAATCCCAGCAAAACAATACCACATAATGTATCGTATCGAAGAAACCAGGAATTTACGGAAAGCAAATTCAAAGTAACAATTGAAAATGTACTCAAAAGTTAATACAAAACAAGGAAAATTCACGGTCAATACTGCCCCTACTCCTGCAAATAAGGGAAAGAAAGTTAAAGGCAACATTAAGGGATTAAAAACCTATTAATAAGCTAATCAATATTTATGTCAAACCAACGTCATAATTATAGCCTTTATCAAACCTTTCTTTGTTTTGTCAATTTGATTTATTTGAAACATCAAGATATTGAGACATAAAAATATAATATAATACAACATATAAACACAAAATTAATGTGGAATGAATGTAATGGAACGATAACAAATCCAATAAATTAAGTACAATGTTATATTGATTTCACACAGATTGATTTTTTTTCCTCGTAATAACATAATTGAACAAGTTTATCAAATATTTGTTTGTCAAAAAAGGTAAAGTTAACCTCTGCCTTTAACAAACAGTACATTTATTCACATAAAATGAAAACCGCATTGCTACTTAATGTCAGCACAAAATGTTTGACTTCCGGGCTTGTGATAATGTCGTAGACGAAACGCCTACCAGCAGATACATCGACCTCCTAGTGATTGTAATATCTCATTAAAGATACCAGGCGTATAATTTTACGCCAGACACACGTTTTGTGTACATACGACTCATTAGTAGCAATGGAATCAAAACAGATAAACAAGTAAACAAGTACACATTAGAAAGCATTAAAATCCTAAAAGTCTAGGCAAGCAAATATCCTCCTAGGGGTAGACAACCTTAGTGTTTTGAATATTTCAACAAGTTATAAACAATAAATGTACAAAAAATAAACCAATGAATAATATTTAATGTCAACAGATCTAGATTAAAAGACTTAATGGACTGAATTCCATACTTAATGGGCGTTTTTGTGTAAATCGGATACATAATATAACCACAGCAAATCAGAAAATTTGAGTAAAAAATTCAATACATAATTATATAATGTATCATACATAAGTTTCTCCATCAAAGTAGTTACAAAACATTATAATGAAATTATGTAGCAAAAAACAAATGGTTATACACTAATAATTATTGTTAATTTTGCGAACAATTTTCTTGTATTTTTAATGTTCTGCAGATGTATTGCTTTTTAAGCCTTTAATTGGTATAAAGCCGTAATAAATGTCGGCATACATTCAAAGCACACGTTATGCTTTTATCATATATAAAACCATCTTCATTGGTGATATGAAATAAAAAAACCTATGAACACATTCTAATATTGTAAAATTCTGTAAATCATTCCCAGGACCAATTTTACTCTTTTTGTGTTTGTTGCACGTTTGAGGTTGAGTTCTCGATAGACATAAGCGTATGTGTCAAGGATGTTCGCTTCTCTGTTTCAAAATAACAAGCCTTTTAAAAGAGTATTATAAATTGAAAGTATATGAATAAAGGAACTGAAAAAGCAGAAAAAATGAAGGGTCCGTGTGCTTGTTTTCAAGATATAAGCCATTGAAAATTTGGCGGGAAGTGATTCTCTCTAGATTTTTCATAAATTTTACATTTGCACCTTTTTTCTTTCAAAAACTATCAAAAAATTACAAGGATTTTATAAGATTTTCAAATATGGCTTTTTAAACTATATGTAATAAAAATATGAAAAGAAAAGTAGGACTTTGCGTGAAAAATGTTTGAATGGCACTACATGGATAAAACCAGAGGATTCCGAATATCTGGCAAAAACTCAAAAAACAAAAGGAGCGAACATCCTTAAATACTTGTTCTTTAAAAACAACAATTCAAATTAATCATTCACCTGTTGATGATTCGAGATTGTGTGTAAATGCAAACTGAAAATACCACACCAAGTTTTTATCGGTTTCGTAACCTAACAAAACAGTCTACTCTTATTTCGAAAACTCTATTTATTTGCTCTACTTAATTGTATTTTTCCCAAGATAACAAGGGTATTTACATGGTGTGTACCGGATACTAATACAACTATAAAAGTCTTGATAAGTTTTCATAAACTTTCAAAGGAATTAAATGGCTAGTGATTTTCAGTTCAGAATTAAATACATGTACATCTATAGCAGGTGAATCTTTTAGAAACCTTATCATAGAATACCCTACAATTTTTACCGTACAAAAAAAGAAGAGAAGAAAAATGTTTTAAATGATAGCTTTCCTAAAAGTCAAATATTGCCCCTAACAATTTCAAAACAAAACTCCTTGAATATTCCGATTTACCTCTTTCCGAGAGTTACATTCAAATCTTTATCCCCGATGTAGTAACTATTCTACAACCAGGATGACCACTAACTTGAACACAATTCTCATGTCAAAGTTTACGTGCATTACTAATAAAGGAATCATTATATGCATTTGAGAGGGGTTACAATACCAAATTTTTTGGCAAGCAGACGATACGGTTTCCGGTTCTTCAATAATAATAGATACACTAGTGGTCAATGTTAAATCCTCCATGCTAAATTGACAGTAATTCCTCCCTCTTTTGGGGTATACGTCAACAAGACAGCAATCTGATGACAAAACTAACCAAAAACGAAATCTAGAAGGCAAGATAAGACAAAAGACATCTGCACGTACAATACGTCAAGCTCTAAATCAACCCGAATCTATAAAAGTTGTAAATGCATTGAACAGAAACAATCAAGTATCAGCGGTTAACAAATAGTGATAAAATAACCTACTGATTCAGACATTTCTTACCTTGACATCCAGTGCTCCTTCCACATGATGATTCAACTTCAGAAATATAATATCCATCACATGATACATTAAACAATTGACTTCCAGATCCACAATTTGTTGAACATGGTCCTAGTGGTTCAAGGCTGCACCCTTCAATGAAAAAAAATTGCCATTCATCTGCCTTCATTTTCGGAATATGTCTGTGGTAAGAAGTTTTATTTTGAACAAAACAAATTAGTTTCCCTCATGTTGGTCATCAGTCTAGTCTTTTACATAATAAGAAACACTGTGTATTTTTTTTGTCGTTGTATTCGTTTTTGTTTGTGTAACATTGGAAAGTATGACGTTAATTATAAGCAGAATATACTTAAACAATAACTTTATCACTTACATCTATAATTGATATACTGGATACACTCAGAAAGACGAAACAATATCATACAAGCTAAGATAAATATTTCTTTTATTCTGAAATCTAGGTTTTTTTTAAATAAGAACATTATTAAAGGTTTATTGGAATGAATAGTAATGAAGTGTCATGAAATATTACACCACCACCATTCAGAAAACAGCATAGATTATTTATGATAACATTTTCATCAATTATATATAAATCAAAATAGTGGAAATAGATGTTTTAAATTTCGTTCGAAAACTCAATATTTAATGCATTATGAAAACAATGTTGTTTCTAAACTATATAAATATTTCAAGAAGGTTCTTAATTCAAACGTATTTTAAATTGTTTGAGTAAAATGAATGACAGTATCACCGATATACTTTTACCCTGGTTTGTTGTATATATTTTGATAAGAAGTTTATGAAATAAACTTGGCAAATTAAAAAAAAAACCACATTATTATATAGATTAGTATAATTTAAACTAAGATATAAGATATATTGATTCTTACATTGGTACCAGTGGATTACCGGATTTATCCAATTGCAATAGTAAAGTTATCTAATTTAAAGTCAGAGCCTCGGAGAGGACTTTAAAATTGATAATTTAACTATCGAGATTGGATAAATCCGATAATTCACGACTAGTTATGTAAGAATCAGTTACTCTAATGATTATACAATAAATTTTTATTTGTGATAAACAAAAATCCCCTTCGAGTGCCTTCCAAATTCTAAGAGGTTGTCAATTTCTCTAACACCTGTTTGCACAATTCGTTTCATCCAGTGAGCTAATAAAGGTTATGACCCTCAAACTGAGCCAATCGTTCTGAGATCGGTGGCAAGCACACGTTGATTAATTTTTTTCATATAATGGGTTCAGAGAGAGTTAAATTGCTGTAGAATTAGAGAAATTTGGGTGGACGTCAATGATGCTGTTATTCCAACAATACTATAAAGTCCAAAAAGGTATCAAGATGTTTCTTAAATCATAAAAAGTGTATGGTATAAGGGGGATGGTTTGCCGACAACAAATTATTTTAACCCCGCTACAATCTGTATGTGCCTGTTCCAAGTCCGGAGCCTTTTATTCAGTCGTTTTCGATTGTTGCTGTATATCATATTTGTTTTTCGTTCATTGTTTTGTACATAAATTAGGTCCTTAATTGTTGAAGGCCGTACGGTGACCTACAGTTTTAAACTTCTAAGTCATTTGGTCTCTGGTGGGGCGCTATTTATTGGCTATCATACCACATCTACTTATTTTTAAATTAACCATATGTAAAGCTCTTAATCACTTTGAGACTGTACAGCTTGTGTTTCAGTTCAACCAAATTACTAAGGATCTGCTGTAAAACAAAATAAAACGACAAGAACAATGACAACCACTGGTGACATACATGACTTCTGACAGGCACAATTGCCATATTCAGCAAGTTTTTGCAGTCCTGCATCTTTATTTGTTTTATCTCACTTAATCAGTAGAATACTATGTTAAGTTACATAAAAAGTATTGTACAATATAAGATCAGAAAAAGATCTTAAACTGAACTTTAAAATATATACTTTACTTGCGAAAAAATGACAAATCCCAGCAAAACAATACCACATAATGTATCGTATCGAAGAAACCAGGAATTTACGGAAAGCAAATTCAAAGTTACTTGGCTGATACAGAAGTCAAACCATTTTACAGTCTAATATATGGAGCTTTAAATCTGAGCAAACTTCCTTTAACTGTGCAGAAAAACATGCTTGAGTACAATTCTCGAGGATTTTTTTTCAACTGAAAGAGAAAGGTCTTCAAAACCTTTTCGAATATGCTCAAAATATAAAGAAATGTATAGTATCAAGAAATATAAATGAATTGAGATTACAAACAAAAAATATATTTCAACAAAAATGCCAACATGCAAGGTAAATTAAAAAAGACTTTATGAACTAACGGAACGCATGGAAAACAAATGTCAAAGTTATGACGTCATATTTACATCATAATATGCAAAGATTTTGTTGAAATAGAAATGCAGATTCTACGCAGCTGTTCATATGACTTTGCTTGAAGCATAAAGAAATATTCTCAAAATATTGAGCTGTTAAAGTTGTGGACCACTACTTGTTTCAATCAAAAATGTACTCAAAACTTAATACAAAACAAGGAAAATTAACGGTCAATACTGACCCTACTCCTGCCAATAAGGGAAAGAAAGTTAAAGGCAACATTAAGGGAGTGAAAAACTATTAATAAGCTAATCAATATTTATCTCAAATCAACGTTCTAATTATAGCCTGTTTCAAACCTTTCTTTCTTTTGTCAATTTGATATGATAGGAACATCAAGATATTGAGTCATAAAAATATAATATTATACAACATATAAATACAAAATTAATGTGGAATGAATGTAATGGAATGATACCAAATCCAATAAATTAAGTACAATGTTATATTGATTTCACAGAGATTATTTTTTTTTCTCGTAATAACACAATTTAACAAGTTTATCAAATATTTTTTTGTCAAAAAAGGTTAATTTAACCTCTGCCTTCAAGAAACAGTACATTTATTCACATTAAATAAAAATAGCAATGCTACTTCATGTCAGCACAAAATTTTTTAACTCCGGGCTTGTGATAATGTCGCAGACGAATACCCTACCAGCAGATACATCGACCTAGTAGTGATTGTAATATCTCATTAAAGATACCAGGCGTATAATTTTACGCCAGCCACACGTTTTGTGTACATACGACTCATTAGTAGCAATGGAATCAAAACAGATAAACAAGTAAACAAGTACACATTAGAAAGCATTAAAATCTCAAAAGTTTAGCCAAGGAAATATCCTTCTAAGGGTAAAAAACCTTAGTGTAATGAATATTTCAGCAGTTTATAAACAATTAATGTACAAAAAGTAAACATATGAATGATCTTTAAAGTCATCAGATGTAGATTAAAACCGTTTGAATGACACACAAATACAATAAAGACTTAATGGACTTAAATCCATACTAAATGGGCGATTTACTCCTATATATTATGGAAGGGAGGGGATCGAAAGTAATCGTAAATCGGATACACAGCAAATCAGAAAACTTGAGTAAAAAATCCAATACATATATATAATTATATTATTCAAACCTGAGGTCCTAAAAGAATAATTTAAGGAAATGTACATGTATCATACATAAGTTTCTCCATCAAAGTACTTACAAAACATTATAGTAAAATAATGTATCATAAACAAATGGTTATACACTAATGACCTATTATTGTTAACTATGCGGACAATTTTCTTGTTTTTTTTTAATGCTCTGTAGATTTATTGCTTCATAAGCCTTTGAGTGGTATAAAGCCTCACTAAGAAATCGACATACATTCAAAGCACACGTTGTGCTTTTAACATGTATAAAAAACCATCAACATTGGTGATATGAAATCTTTTAGAAACCTTATCATAGAATCTCCTACAATTATTACCAAAATTAAGAGAAGACTAATGTTTCAACAATTGTTAAATGTCATCTTTCCTAAAAAGTCAAATATTGTCCAGAACAATTTCCAAACAAATCCCCTTGAATTATCCGATTTACCTCTTTCCGAGAGATACGTTTAACCTCTATCACCGATGTAGAAACTACTCTAACTAAAAACGACTGTACTACAGGAAACCAGGGTTGTGTTGGATGACTTTAAAGGATAACGAAAGTACAAGTTATGTTTTGCTCCATATCGAAACGTACCGCATGGTGATTAGGAACTCAGCAAAAGCCCTTGGCCTTTGTGTGATTTTAGTGTCAAGTTTCGACAATTTCCCAGAATATACCAAGGCTGACTTTAGTGGCTTATGTATATACCTGATGCTCAAATGACAATTATATTGGAATACAATTTGAAAAGACTACCAAAAACCCTTTTTTTTAGAATTTCAATTATTCTATTTAGACATTACTGATTGGTTGTCATCACCAATACACACTTGCTTATTAAAGACCAAACAGCCTATTCAGTTCTACCAGTGATTTTTCCTTAAAATTTTGTGTGAAGGTATTTCATGATTTGAGGAACAAAATATGATAAAAAAAATTGGGGGTCACCGACTTAGTTTTGTCACTATAGCAACCTCAGTTTCGTGTTTTCCCGAATATTAACATGATATTTGCTTGTTATTTGAACTCTCAAAAAATCCCATTATATCAAACCTACAAGCATAATTCTTGTTTCATGTTAAACAGTAGATTTTTGTCTATCAAATACAAGTTCAAGAGTTTAAGACTCTTATTGTTTTGATCTTAAAAAATATGATTTATTTCATTCCCGCCAAAAATAAAACGCAAGAATGAAAAACGTTTCAAGTATTAAAAAATATCTACCAGTGATTTTTTCATAAAAATTTCAAGAAGGAAAGTGCCATGTGTACTCTTCAAAATAAAGCAAAAAAATGTATATGTCACCGACCTTTCAAAAGAGTTATGATTAATTTTCATGTTTTTTTCTCGTTCGTTTTGAAGAAAAGAGTTGTCTTTCTTCAGAACATTGAATCTGACGTCATAGTACAAGTTTTCCTTGCTGGCGTACTGTTTGAAAAAAAAATACGAATTGGACGTTTGAAACCCACATTTAAATTTTCAAGAATCAAGAATAACAACTATATTCACCTACTTTATTATGCGGTAATACAAGAGATCACATGTATGTATCAGTATCAGATCTCATGATGTTGTTGCCGCACAAAATTTTAACCTTCAGAAACACCATCCATCGGAATGAAAAATTGTTTGAAATAAC